CAATAGTTTGATCTTGTGGGATTAGAGGTAGGTTGAAGTATGCAAGAAATTTGTTGTAACAGACTTCAGAGTTGTAGATATGTGAGAGTTTGTAATTAGTTTTTTTGGAATTTGTATTGTGGTTCTCAGAGTTATGTGATGAGGTGGTCTCTAAGAATGAGTATTTGTCTTCTACTAAGGTGCTCATCGTTTGACGCTTGGCTCTCACAGCTGCGAAGATTTCTATAGTCTGCTCTGTACGTTGAGTCTGACCGTCATTTACTTGGTTCTCCACATAAAAAATATATTTTTATTTATTTATCATTATATATGTACATATAAAAAAAAAAATTTAATTGAAAATTTTATATGTATACATATCGTGATATTGTGGATGTAAGAAAAAAGCTAATAGATAAATATTATTAGAGAATTCATTCCAATGATGATTAAATTTCTCAATATAGTAATTTTTAAATACTATATTTTGATTTGGTAAGTGAAAAATTGTATTTGCCAATGATATTAAATAGACATAGCAATCAGCAAGATTAAAAGTTCTCGATTCTAGACATCCAACAGAAAGTTTAAGAGAATAAAGAATAGATGCCATAAGCTGACATTCTTCATAAAAAGCTCAGTTACAAAGAATGTCTTTAACTTGTATTTTGAGATCATCTTCATGCTCTGAAAGAATCTATATAAATATCATACATATGATAAATTAAATTTTTTATCAATTTATAAAAAATTTATTTTTATTAGACGATATTAAAAATAAGATTAGAGATGCAAACATATTATGTATTATTATTAGTTACATAGTAATTTGCAAATTTTTATTAAGATAATTATTAGATCATCTAAAGTTTTGTACAGCTGACCCAGCATAAGTACAAATTTACACAATTTTGCTTCTATAAGTGCATATTTTTTGATTTATAATTAAATCCCCTATAAGCGCACACCCTTATAAATATATATGAATTGGTATCACCTTCGTAGTGAAACATTTAATGTATAATAAGCACATCCTAATTTTCAAATAAAGTTGCCATTGAAGTAGCTGATATCATCTAATTAATCAAGAATTAACATAAGTTCATTATCACATTCATTCTTTAAATGTTGGTAGAATTCCATTGCCATTAAATGATAAAGCACCACCTTGAATCGTAAGTTTATGAAAAGTAAAGACCGCTTTAACAGAGATACCAAGTTATCTACACTATTAAAATCATCACCAACCATAACATCTACAAGATTAGGCAATATTCTTCAATAATGCTGAGAGTTATTGAATATTTTTTAAATTTTACTTCAGGGTATATTTCTTGCAAATTCTGACTATTATTTTTAATTACTGAAATACTACCTTCTGAATTATTTTCATTATACTTTTAGACAGTTCTAGATCTGAAATATAAGATTGCATATCTTGTATAATGCTTTTATGTTGCAAAATATTGCTATTGTGAAATTCTGCATAAATATATTCTGCATTATAAATGTTCTATAAATCTTCTGAAATGTCTTTAAGTAGTTTAATTGGTTTGCTAGATTAGATCGCAAAACTTTTTACTTAAAAACTTGTAAAAGCTTCATTATTAGCATATTGAAATATCATAAAGTATTCATTTGCTTCTGTATTTGTGGTCAATCTATAAATTTCAAGCTTGTCACCCACAAGTATACATTTTATATGATTGTCAAACTATATAAATGTATATAATCAGTTCAATATACATTTAATAAACTGCTTGATAAATAATTAACTTCTTTTAAAAAATCATGATGCTATATAGTTCATATGTTTTTTATACTTGTTTATCTCAATTTCTTTGATCTTTTGAATATTATTCAACCATATTGCAAAAAATACAGAGCTGAATCCATTATTACTTATTTGTTTAGTAATAACTAATCTTTAAATAGAATCCACTTAATCATATATTTATAATTATAAATTCTAAGTTGGATCTCTTTTATGAAATTATCAATATTCTTATTTTTACTTGTCCATCTTCGAATTGCTAACTTTCTCTTGATGAGTGCACTTATGAAGGGTCAGCTGTAGTATTTATATGCATCATGTGACTTTTAATTTAAAAATTGATTAGTAGTTAATGTTAAAACTATCTGGCTTTAGACTATCTCTTTAAACAGTTTTGCAAGCAAATAATATTAGATTAAAGTTGACTGTTTAATATTACTATATAAATAAAATTAAAAAAAAAATCTTATTCTTATAAAAGCAAATTCAAGTTGCACAATTGAATTAACACAATCCCACATTGTAGACCAATATGTTTTCATATAATCCTTTAAATCACCACCCTTAATGTTTAAAATTTTAATTGCATCTTTTAAAAATTGGCATACAGCATGCAATTTTGTAAAATATTTATGAATTATGCCAATTTTCTGAATTGCACTTGTTACAAATATGTGTTTGTGCAAGTCTTCTGTAATTAAATTAATACAATGTGTCACACATCTAATATTTAAAATATAAGGATATTTTTCACAAAGTATTCTTCGTGCAATACAGGTATTTGCTGCATTATCAGATACAATCGCAGCTATTTTTTCAGGACCTATATCATCAATAACTTTAATGATTTCTTCACCAAGAAATGCACCAGTATGATGAGGTATACCAGAATAATTTTTTGAAGCCCAAAGATATTCTTTACACTCTTCAGTAATCATACAATAATCATAAATGGATTGACCTAAAGGTAGTATTACAAATTGAATTGGAAAAAAATTGATTAGTTATCAACTAACCTTTTCAAATATCAACTAATCAATTACAGAATAACCTTACTATAATGAACTTCAATATAATAAACCTTAATATAATGAAACTCAATATAATGAATATCGATATAACAAACCACGATGTATATAACAAAATTCATTTTTACAGCTGTTATCATTATTCCTGAAACACCTTATGAAAAATTAACTAAATGGTTATTTCACTGATTCGATAAATTATTGGTTTCGGCATGATCAATGTAATGTTTATTATTTACGAAGATAGTCTAAAGCCTTACAAAGGTGCTAATCGATTTGTAAATTAAAAACTACAAGGCTTCAAATGATCTCTACTTTCATGTCCTAACTAAAATTCTATTTCTAATTGTAACTCATATAGATATTAGATAGACTTTTCTTCTATTAAAGTCTTGTGATATTTTATATCATTTACAGTTTAATAGATGTGATTTCTTACAAGTGGCGAAAGTCTTTCAACACATCTATATCTTTGAAATTAGGGGTTTTAAAGTTAACAAATGAGTAGCGCATTCTGAAATTAATTATATTTCAAAATTTTAAAAATGAAAAATAAAATGAGAGATCTCCATTTAACAAAATAAATAAAGTTTTTCAATGATATAGGAAAATGAAATAAAGTTAATATATCATTCATTGTAAATAAATATGTCATCTATTTCTTTAACTTTGAAACCCCCTATTAGTTGAAAACTTAGATCTGCTAATATCTAAGTGTTTAGCAGTTGTTCGAATTTATAACCCATTTAAATTTTTTTGGATTTAATATATTTCTAAATATAATACTTAACTATAGTTATATTGATATTGGTTATCTGACCATTATTGATTAATAATTGTCACAGCACTATAAATAGAGGTCATTTAAAGCCTTACAAATTAATTAGCACTACATACGTACCTGGTTTTAGACTATCTTTGTAAATAATAAACACTACATTAACAATAACTATTGAATTGGCAGAATAATCACTTGGTTAATTTTTCATAAGGTGTTTCGAGAATAATGATAACAGTTGTAAAGATAGTTAACTAACTAGTATGTAACACTACCTGTAAGATTAGTCCACCCATCAAATGCAATTATAAGATTGGTTTCTTGATCAAGAAAGCACCTAACTTTTAGATTTACTCGAGCAAGCTCTTGATCTAAAAGAGTATTTGATAAAACCTAATAACTTGGAATAGAATAAGTTGCATGTAGGGCTTTGGTATATTCTTAAAAAAATAGATGCTCAATGATAGCAAAAGGTAAATTACAATACACAACCATTTTTAGTAATATCTTATTAATTTGGTCTTTCTTATCTAATGAAGTAGGAACATTTTCATATTCACTATTAATATTAATACCATTTTTCAATTTTCATTTTTTACTTGCTATGGTTGATGTTGAGGCCATATCATTATCTAAATCAACACAATCATTTGTCAATGATATTAAAACTTTGATTTTAGTATCTGAATCAACTTTTTGGCATTTATACGCAAGATGCATTTTTAGTTTACTTGATTTAGCAAGAGCCCAATATTGATCACAAAAAGAGCATATTGCAGAATAGTATCCTTTTTGGATGTTTTATCTCCCTTTACAATCAATTCTATACCTCACTAGAAAAACGTCCATCTATATTTTTCTTAACAATTTTCTTAATTAAAGATTTTTTTCTCGATGACATTTTTTATTCAAAGAAAAAAAATTTATTACAAAATTTTTATTTTAAAAATATTTAATTTTATTTATTGTTATCTTTCTTTAGAGTTTTGGCTACTATACAACATTTTGTTTAGAATTTTAATTCACATATAAAGACTTCAATTAGATTCGACTTTAGTTAGCCTTTTGACTAAAGGTTTTAATTTTAGAAATGATCATCCTTGACTAAAAATTGACAAAATCCTAAATTGAAACTAGGTTTGAAAATCCAGTAGTTTTGGTTATATGTATATAGCAGACCTAGTTTGTTTTTAATTAATCTAATTACTGGCTAATGTAAGTGATTTATGCACTCTTTGGACACTTTTGCTATTTGCAGTATATATACCAATTTTGGTATTATGTATATATTGTTAATATATATTAGCTAACTAATACTTAATTTCTTTGACCATAAGCTTTTCACAAATTGCTGCATAATATTTTTCACCTTTTTTTAAACTAATCTTTCATTTATTTCTATACTCAACTATACTCCTAATATTTTTGTTAGTATATGCTTTCTTTCAGCCTATACTCAATCTGAATCTATTATTATCTATATTTCTTTACTTCTTATACTTGGATTAATTGCCAACAACTTTGACTTAACACTATTGATCTGAGTATTATTGAACTTGAAAAATCTTTGTGAAATTTGCACAATTGCTTGCATCTCCTCTTTGCTTTTTGCTATTTAGATTGTGTCATCAGCATAGGCTATTGCTGCTTGCCTTATTCTTCTTTCTTTAACTCTATTCATTTGTAAATCTAGTACTTCATATGCTTTAATTTCATATTCTAAACTCATTTCATCTTGAACTCTTCTTAAAAGCAGATCATAAAATATCTGCCAAACCAATGAAGAAATTGTTTCTTCTTGTTTAATTCTATCACCTGCAACAAATGTCTCTGTAGTTCCAAATTCTGTTATAATGCTAACTTTCTTTTTATTATATAACTCTATTATAATTTCACTATCTTTTTTGGCAACTTAATTCTTTGTAATGCCAAATGAAGTGACCTTATTAACACTAAATCAAATGCCTTCTTTATGTTATACATTAACAACTACAGCTCTTTACTACTCTCTTTAGCATCCTTTCTTAATATTTTCACTATATGGATTGCTTCTTCTGTTAAGTTTTTTAATAAGCCTGCATAATTTAATCCTCTGAGAATTTCTTTTTCTGCTATTATTCTAGACATTATTTTTGCCAACACCTTCATTAAGCACTTTCTAAACGTCTTTAGAAGTGCAATTGGCCTAATATTACAGAGATTATGGTTTCAGTCCTCACTTTTTGGTATTAGGTATACTTGTACCAACTTTTACTTATATGGTATCTTTTCAAGCTTAAGGCACATATCTGCAAATTTTCTAAAAATTTCTTGTGTTGTTCTATTTACACTTTTAATCAAGCTATACCCAATATTTGAAAGACCAGAGACAGTTTTATTCTTTGTTTCTTAAATCACCTCTAGTTATTCATCAATTAATATTTCTGCTCTTAAGCCCTCATACCACTTTTCTTTAACTTCTATAAATAGTTCATAAAACTCTTCTATTATTTTTTTTATTATCTATTACATTTCTTTGTTTAAACTGTAAACTAAAATGTTCTTTTGTTTGCTCTAATCTGTACTTGGTTTATTATATATAATGCATTTTCCTTCTTTATGTTCCAACATCTGGTCAATTTTGATTTTGTTATATGGTCTGTTTAAAATACTAGTAAGCATTCTTTCTACTTTTTCATTAATTCTTTCATACCTTCTGCTTATTGTAGCATTAATTTCAGCTTTTGTATATTTGTCTTTTTCTATTTTTTTAACTAACTTTAGTGTTTGCTACTGCCTCTTTGTTAACTAACTCCATCTTGCAAAATCTGCTGCATTACCATCTTCAATATATCTTATTTCTAGACTGTATGCTCTGTTTATTCTCTCTATTTTTGAGTTGAGCTCAGCTAATTTAAGCTCAAACTTCTTCTTATTTACTGTCTTTTTAATCTTTCATAGCAATTTGCTAAGTGCCACAACTTCTTTATATAGCATTGTTGTTTTTTTCTTCTTTTTAATGCTGTTCTTTTCTTATATTATTTTTTTTTAGATATGTTTTTATTGGCCATATCTTTTATTATATTAGATATTATGTTCTAAGCTTTATCTATATCAGAAGTATATTCTACTTCTTTAAGTACCTTGAACTTCTTATTTTTCAACAGATAATGCTCTAGGTTTGTTTGATAATTTTCTCAATTTTCTTTCATTGCATTATTATATAGATAGATTGTTCTTGTTATATCTTTTTTTTTCATATTTGCTATGCTTCATGTCTTAACTAAATGCTTAAAGAATAATGATGTATAAGCAATACTATAATCACTAACTATTATAAACTCTGCATTGATAATTTCTGTTTGCTCTATATCTGGCTGTAGATCTTCTGAAACCTATATTTGGTCTATTCTTGTTTGTACACCTTGTCCTAACTATATATAACCTCTTAGCTCTGGATTACATATTCTATATATATCACCAAACCTCTAGTTTAACAACCATCTGTATAATAAAAGGGTCTTGAAGTTACTGCTACTATTACTACTTAATTTGTCTAACTTACTACTAACTATGTAATTAAAATCATCTATAACTATAAACTGCAAGTTGCATGTTCTTTCTATATACATTCCAACTATTACTTGTTGTAATTTCTTAGTTATATTTTTGTTATTTAGAGAAATATATACTACTATTATTATAATTTCTACTTGACTGAAGTAGAATCTTGCTCCAATCAAATATTCTTCAAATCTATAGACTTCTCTTATATGTTTTTTTCATTCTTGGTTTACTAATAACCCAACACTTGATTCTTTTTTTTTCATAACTATCTCTTATGTTCATAATTTTTTAAAATATCTATCTTCTAAATTAAACCTAAGATTTCTACTATTACAGTTTGTTTCTACTAATCCTAAAACCTCAACTTTCTTTTCTTTTGACCACTCAACTATTGCTTTAAGCTTGATCTTATTGTTTTTTATCTCATTTATATTGTGACATGCTATCTTAATTCCTGTTATGCTGTTACTACTTTTGTTAAATTTATCTAACAAAGTAGTTATCTTTTTTTGAACAATGTTTATAGCAACTTTTAGGAGTGATTTGGAAGTATACTCTCTAATTGTCTTTCTTTTATTTCATCTAGTCTTTTTAAAATTCTGTCAAGAGTATCTTGCAAATTACTTTTTGGCTCTTTAATTATAGTTACTTCTGATCAAATATTGTTTCTATATTTCTTTTTGTCTATATTATCTCTTCTCTTCTGATTTTCTTTGTTAGTTTTACTTTTTTTTACTTCTTCTTTGACTTTTACAAATCTCTCATGTTGCATATTTTTGTTTGACTGGCATTCTTTTATTTCTCTTTTTTCTTTTCTTTTTGTTTCATCAATTTTGAAGGATTTTGCAATACTCCACTCTAATCTTGTATTATAGTAGTATACTTCTCTTTCTGTAGCAACTCTGAGATCTTCTTCTGTTTCAAAATACATTGATGCTGTTTTTTACTGTTTCTATTTCTGTTTACTGATATATAAACTGTCTTTGCCTTAACTGCTTTAAGTTGTTTTAGCAACAATACTTCTATTGCTATCATTAGAATATTTCTAACTATAGTTTTATATAATGCTCTTTTCTCTAACACTTCTCTTGCAAAGGTGCCAGGAGTTACTTTACAGGTTTTTTTCTCTTCAAAATATATTAACCATGCTTGATCTAGCATTGCTTTTCTTTTTTCATTTTTAAATCTGACTGAAAATATTGCAGCTTTGCTGATTCTACAATTTTTCCAATCTATAAACCTAATTTTACTATAAAATTGAAAACACTTTCTTACTTGTACTGCATGAACTTTAGCTAGAATGTCTCACATTGTATAAATACTATTTACTCTATTTTTGTTTTTGCATCTCATTAGTGGTTTTTCTATATATATTGCTTCTTTTTTTGCATTTTCTTACACTTGTTCTCTATTTTGAATTACTTTTTCATTTTTTTTCATCTTCTTATCACTCTTTTTTTTACTTCCATCCAACTCTTCGTTCAACTTTATATTCTTTACTTCATTCTTAACTTGCATGTTTTCTTCTTTAATACTGTTTTTCTCTTTTTTCTTCACATTTAACTTGAGTTCAGCTGTTTGTTTTTCTTTAATACTATAATCTAAACAGCCACATTCTTGTTTTATCAATGCTTCTTTGTTTATTTTTGTCTTCTTTATTTGCTAATCATTACTTTTTTGTAATTTTTCATTGTTCCATGCTTGTATATATTCACAGTAGTTATATATCTTTATTAAATTTCTAAATATACAGACTAGTACTGACTTAGTGCTAATAAGTTTGACTAATTCTTTATCTTTTCTTAAGACTTTTGGTTTATAACTCTTTAATATTTCCTTTTGTGCTCTGTCTGACTTACCAAACAAGTTTCAATATTTTTTTAGTTTATCATATCAGCTGGTTTGTGTAGATACTGATTGAACCTTCTGTATAACACTTATTTGCATTATTCTATAATCTTCACAAATATACTAAACTCATAATTGCTTCTTAAATTTGTGTTTGTTTGTTTATCTGCATGATTACGTATCTGTTTGTTTGTTTCTTTCCTATTATGCTTATTGTTTACTCTGCTTTAATTTTCACATCATATGTACAATCTGCAATACAGGGTTTTTGTGTTTTTCTATTTTTTCTGAAAAATTTTTCAAAAATAAGAAACTTGAAAGGGCTGTCTCTAGGCTGTTATACTGCTGTTCTTATATTTTACTATTTAACAAATTATAACTAATTTTCTATTAGCTTTCTTTTTGCTTAGTCAACTTCTGCACTTTAACTTGACAGTTTTTGTGTTTTCTATAGTTTTCTTTCTATTTCAAATTTGGTTGTAAGGATCAGTAAAGAGAGTTTTTGTA